TTCCGCGATGTAGGCATTTATTTTATGACAGACTTGCGCTTCGAGAACAAAGTATATGAGGCTCTACGTGTGGCATCAGAGGATATGATCACATCCATATTTGTGAGTATGTATGATTGATGAGTGGAGCAACACAACACCATGCAATTATCATTTACACGACACGACCCAAACATCTAGACGCCAAGAAGATTGCGACCGAATCAAAGAGACCTCAAACTGTCAAGCAGTCTGACGTTTTGTTGGCAATTAATATAATGAACTTGGGTAATCAACTAACTACCATTCATACACCACCTACCACACACCATAATGATCAAACATGAAGATTCGACGGAATCACCATTTTCACAACTTTTTTTGGCGCGAAGACTATGTTAGCGAGACCTGGCACTCACTCATACACAAGTCCTTTATTTGGGAGGGGGAGATCATATTCTCTATTGCTAGCTAGCATCAACAGGATAGATACAAAGATATGTACAAATAAAACATACATTGCATATAATATATAATGTTGGGAGAAAAGCGAATACTAGAGAGAGAGGTGTTGACGACTATATCACCTTCACTGAATGGCAAGACGATGACTTCTACGAATGGTCCCGCATTCAATTTGGCAAGGACACATCCGATCTTCTGAGACAGCATGAAGTAAGCGCCAATGTGTTCTGTGACTACACAGAGGGCGAACTTAAACTACTTGGTATCAAGTCTGGATCAATAAAGAAGATCGGCAAGCTCATAACAACCATCAAGAATGCAATCGATGAACACACGGTGATGAGTGACCCCAGCATATACACTCCCATCAAACAGAATGAGAATATATATCGTTCATACAAACCAGGCAAAYCGACCTYCCAGAGCTCCCCACAACTGACCTCAAACTCAACCAATCAACATTGTCATCACACTCGGTTGAAATTGCTGAGTGTGTCAACATATTGAATAGAGTTATTGCCAGTGGATTGGAACTCACACCTGGTATTGATTGTGCGAATGAAGCGACGAGGAAGATACACATTGCCATCATACTATCCACATCGTGCGACCTTTTCAATAGACATCGTGACACGACTCMTCCCTTGGCGGCAATCAAATCAGAGTACTCAATGCTTGATCCATCAAACTCCGTCCTTGCYGGCGTGGCCGACTTCATGATCACAATCAAGGGAATCCCCCTCTGTGTTGTTGAGGTCAAGAACCATGACTTTAGCAAGGGTGGCAGGCAGATTGCCGGCACAGCACATCGCATATTCATGGATCAAGGCCGCAATATCCCAGCCGTCTATGGTATCCTTACAGATGGTCTGACATGGGTATTGGAGCGACGCACGCCGACAACTGTTTCATGGATGACCTTCGCCCATTCAGTTGAAGGACCATTCAAATGGTCCCAAGAAACTGTCACCAAGACCATAGGTTATGTTCATGCACTCCTGATCATGATGGCAGCCGACGAACCTACACCATCACCAACTCGAACTTGAGAAACCAGTGGGCTGTGGGAACAATCTGGGTTTAAAATGTTCGAGAACAAACGAAATACAATTAATTCTCACACACATTTAGTATTTCGTGTTGCAAGTTCATTCTTTCTTTATACATTATACATATATGTGACTCGGAAACATCTATCTAGTTATCTATGACTACTACAACCACCACCACTGCACCAATGACATCCGATTGGATGGATGTCCCTCCAACGTACTCCACTCAGGCCAGTGCTGAGAAGCAGCGCATGGACTTCATATATCACTCAGATAGCCTCGCTGGGCAAGATGGGTATAGGATGATCGCCCGCAAGCACAATGTGACCGACGGTTCTGTCAAGGTTGCTATCAAAAGGATGAAGAAGCTGGTCGCCCTCCACGGCCCACTATATTTGTTGTCGTAAACATTGGCCGCCAGCCACCGATCGCGATAGCTGATAGCTGTCGCATGTGTCCAAATCCTCATCATAAGCACGCCACAACACAGCCTGTGTGGTGGGTTGGTTGTGGCTGGCGCCAAATTTATAATTTTGTTTCACTGATCGTGACAGGGTTTTGTCACGGAAATGACAGGGAGCAGTGGCAGAGATGATGGACAAAGACAAGTCAGCAGAGGAGGAACCGATGGAGAGGATAGCTTTCACGAGGGTGACATCCCCCATACCGAAAGCGACGACCATTATCAATACAAGTTCGTTCTATACAAACGATCATCGAAGAAGCAACTCCACATCTCAATCCTCCACAGCTGTTCACCTCGGAGAGGACGATACAAGAACAACATATACCTGAAGAGCAATTCCAATTGCTCTCATGTCATCAGTGTGTGACACACCCTTCCTATTACAGCCCCAATCATCCTCTTCCAAGCTATATTCAACTGCTTCGCCATACACTTCTGTTCTAGACACTCAGCACTTCAACGAAGTCAATGCGCTCAGTCTTATCAATAGCATCCGATGTATCTACCACGATTTCCCGATCCAATTGCACACCGCTGATATCCTTGGCCTTCATTACGTATGTCCTTCCTTCAATGCCACAAGAAGTAATAGTAATACTTATCCGACTATATACTACATAACTTTATTATTATTATATCTTACAATGGTCCCATGTTCTACATAGCGCAAGTGCATTTCGTTTGACCCAGTAGACGCGGGAGATGCGACAGCCGCATACACATTCTTATCCGACTACTACATGTCGTGTATAGCAACAGTGGATTGCGGTCATACGATATCGGACATCTTGTTGATGGAGGCATTGCGTACGCAGCTATTCGAGATCGATACTCTCAGGCAGGTGATTCTCATGTTGATATATCAGATCACAGCGATGCAGGAGGTCTTGGACATTAGACACGATGATCTCCATATTCAAAACATCGCAGTCAACTTCAGTCGCCGAGCAACCAAGTTACTGTCTATATCATTCAACGGAATCAGCCACACGTTCCTACTCAAGAACGCGCCCTCGGTGACGATCATTGATTGGGGAATATACAGCCACACATACACATATGGCGTCAACTTGGCGGCCAGAGGGGATCAATCGTCAGCATTCAGCAATGGACCTCACAACCAGAGACTACTTTCGCGCTCATCACTCGATATTGGCTCCAATAGTGCCACGCTCTGTCGACCAATTGGCATACTGTGTCGTATGAAAGGAGATTACGATGGCCCAGTGCCTAAAACGTGTCTACTACAGAGGCTCATTGACCATGTCGGCCCCAAGAATAGCACATACGGACAACAGGTCTCATTTCTTAAAGAGATTTTGTTGATGCGCACACTCACCGCACAGGGCATCTTTTTCTCCAACAACAAAATATTCACTTCTTCATCATCCAACAACAACATCTATTACGCCAAATCAACACATTATAACCATCCACTCATACACAAGTTCAAGGCCGATCAGCCAACTGTCGCGAGATCCGACATCATATGCAGACTGCAACACGCATACAGCTACTACTATGCGTCATTCAACATGAACCAACTATCGCCTTTAAGAGAGACACCCGACATACACACAGACATCCCACTGCTGTCACCCATCCAGCCATATATTCACAGCATTGACGAAGGAGATGGTGGTGATGGTGAAGAGGACACACACACACACCACAATGGCGACAACAAGAAGTGGCCATCTTGGATCACTCGTGTCGACCAACAATGGATCTCCAATGCGAAGAAAACCACAAAAGACATAGCACTGAAGGACATTCTCACTGCATTGCAGAGCCACACAAATCGCGAGGCAGCATGTATTGAGATCGCAACCAAAGCGACACTGGACTCAGTGACGGTGCCAACCAAACTGCAGACGAAGTTTTCGGAGAAATGGAGCGCACACAATGTCTTATCATCTTTGTCTAATCCACATCGTTACCCAGACTCTCCGCCGACATCCTCGTATCCACACATGCCATCGCGAATCATAGACACTCCTACTCCTTCGTCCCCATCCCCGCTCACACCATTTCATTCCGAAAGTGCCCAAACACAACAGGTGACAGGGGATGGATGTGATCATTATGGCTATATCTATGACGACCTTGGATCACCAGGCCTATACGTAAACGTCTCCCAAGATGAACGTGTGACCCTTTTCTGCAAGGGTAATATTGGGCCAAATACGATCGTGACATCGTACTACACTCAGCTGGAGACAGAGTACCTCTCAGAGCACACCCACGTCCCTGCAATGGATATACTGGCGCACGTTTATGGCGATGTTGTGCGCCGTAAACATCTTAAGCCCCTCCCAGTTCCATATGTCGGCGTGGGTAACCAGGCCAACATCAGTTCTCATCACTTTAACTGCAAACTGCTTCCGAAGTCACTTCTTACACATAACATGTCCTCTTTAATAATGTCACACACGTCTTTAGGATACTTCAACAGTGTTTATGACAAGCAGACATTGTACCTTGTATCCACAGCATCTATCCCCGCCAATACCGAGATTGTCATTAAAGAGCGGTGACGCTGTGATGTTTTTATGTTGGTGGATATTATATTATTGACTTCTATTCCCTATTCTTATAGCCATATCCATCCCCTTCATTGGTGTTGGCAACCAAGCCAACATGAGCGAGCATAATTTGGAGAGCCCTCCATTCCTTTGCGTGGCCATTCTTGTGATCTCCTCGACTCCATCGTTCCACGTCACTCTGGCCACCCCAAACCATCTCCTGAAGATGTCCACTTGCTGCTGACTTGGATGGAGGGCAAGCCTTGAATGCATGATGTGGGCTGTGGGAACAATCTTGGTTTAAAATGTTCCCTCGTATAAATGTACGAGAACAAACTAAATCCAGTTTATTCCCTCGACATCATGGATGGGGGGGCACGATCTGGGTTTAAAATGTTCCCGCATAAAAAAGTGCGAGATTAAACTAAATACAATTTATTACCGCAGTATACTGTGGGCTGTGGGAACAATATGGGTTTAAAATGTTCCCGCATTTAAAGTGCGAGAACAAACCAAATACAATTAATTCTCACACCCATTTAGTATTTCGTGTTGCAAGTTCATTCTTACTTTATACAATACATATGTGACTCGGAAACATCTATCTAATTATTTATGACTACTACAACCACCACCACTGCACCAATGACATCCGATTGGATGGATGTCCCTCCAACGTACTCCACTCAGGCCAGTGCTGAGAAGCAGCGCATGGACTTCATATATCACTCAGATAGCCTCGCTGGGCAAGATGGGTATAGGATGATCGCCCGCAAGCACAATGTAACTGATGGCTCTGTCAAAGTTGCTATCAAAAGGATGAAGAAGCTGGTCGCCCTCCACGGCCCACTCAACATCTGCACAGTGGCTCATTGTGGAACGCTGACAAAGTGTTGGACCTACTGCAGCAAACATCTACGTGAGTGCTACTCACTCGAGGTGAAGACGAGCAACATCCTACACGCCGGCCTCGGTCTCTTTGCCATACATTATAACGAGACTCCTCGACCCGCAAATAACTACGTCGGTGGCCTCAACAAGAAGCCCAAAAAGAGTCCAGTGTTTGAGAAGGGAGCACACATAATCATGTACACTGGCCACAATCTGACACCCACTGAGCACAAAGTAATGAAGGACGAGTTGAAACAGGTTGGCAAGCAGCCTGAGTACACTTTGGAGATACCAAGTGCCAAAGACAGGCCCAGTGTGTACGTCGATGCAAGTGATATGTTGCTATCATCTGTGTCTAGGTTCATCAACTGCCCGACACCAGGCCCACGTGGGGGTGCAGGCCAACCAGCCGCCAACGTCCAATTCATGACAACAGGCATGGTCCGAGCAATTTGCAATATCCATGATGGTGATGAGCTCATTGTTAACTATGGCGAAAAGTATGTAGTGTCGCCATCAACATCAACACTACCATCACCGATACAATCCCCACGAGCGACCGAAGAATGTCTGGGTGTGCCTATGATAGGTAGTGTCGCTGATACTGTAGACATGGAGAAAGAGGAAATGTCAATGTACGAATCGTCAACATCGACCACGACCACATCGAGTGACAGCGACCAGAAGAGGTCTGAAGAAGAATCGAATTCCTTTATCTTTCGTCCAATATACCTCAACACCATCTGCCTCAGCGCCGATACAAGATCTAGCAGCGCAATCGTAAAGACAGATGAGGTTCCCGTGGACCTGGCATCCCTTAGGGGTGTCATTGGCACTGGTGGGGATTCTGGATATATTGGCACCACTGTTATGGCTCACTATATCCAAGCATTGATGTATCATTGTTACATACGGCCTGCTCAGATCACTATAGCAAACAAGCCTCAACTTCCCATCATCATCCACGACCCAACGACATGCGTACGTCTTTTGGATCCAACCATACATAGTGCCACAGTATCATACGGTGTGGAGTATGAAGTACACATCCTACCCATCAATCATTGCAATGAATTGAAGCATTGGTCAGTTCTTCTAGTCTTATCAAGGTTGAACAGACCGCAGTCATATCTTCACGTGGACACTTTGGCAACTGATATTCCTACATCATTATCCAAGTACATGCGCTTGGACGAACTTGATGTCCTGTGCTCCAATAAGTTGCATCATTGGCCAACCAAGAACAATGGATTGAACTGTGGCCCAGCAACTCTGTACACAATCGAGTTGCTCTCAATGCATTGAGAGTCACTTGCTCTTGTGTATCATCCAACAACATTGGTCCACATTCAACACGCACAATCAACCTATCCTACAAATCTTCCAACATTTGGACGACCATCCTGGATTCACACCTATTAGTGAGGACCCCACCGCCGCTGAAGGTGAATGTTCAATTAGTCTCGACTGTGCGAACAGGATGCGGGGGCTAGTGGATCTACTGCATACATACACAGCCATGAATGTGAGATTTATTGATCAACAGGTCTACAACTACAGCCATATTATATTCATTGAAGGAGCATACAGGAAGAGGATGCTAATGTTCATGCTCAACGCCATAGAGGAACTGCCGCCATTGTACCGACGCGCATCTAAGGGCTTGCGTCCAATCAACCCTTCGAATCCACCCTCTGATGTGATCCTGATCGATGACACCCACTTAGGTTCGCATATCTTCTTCTATAGTAATCAGCCTCCTCCACCATCCAGAGTACAAGGTTCGCTGTTAAAGAAGAGAATACGATCGCCACAACTAGTGGAGGAAAAAGAGGACACTGTCCATGTGGTGGATACAGATATGGATGGAAAGAAGAATGGCACAGCCCCGAGCACTAAGAATGCCGAGAGACAAGCGAAGGAATTCATCAAACATGCGAGGAAGAGTAAGAAGAAGGGTAGGAATAATGGGGCAATGAAAATGATAACTCGAAGCCAAGCCAGCAAGATGAACGATACAGAGTGATCATATCATGCACAGGAATATTGAACAGAAGAATAGACAGAACAGAACAATCAATCCCCAGCTTTTTTTGGATGCCGAGGACATTGACTTTGATGAATTGGAAGAAGAGTTGGTTCCACTACTGCCACCACAGTTACAAGAATTCACAATCAATATAAAGATCAACAAGGATTACAGAGGATTCTATCGTGCGTGAGGCGATGTATGTGTCTATCTGTGTGGACCTATAAACAAATAATGTTGTATTTTGTATTTGATTGACTGACAGATGCGTTGTCTTTGGCTTCCGATCGTCGATCGCTCGCTCCGCAATGCTCCGCTCCTCCTCCTCCTCCAGCCATCGACAACTAATAAAACATATTATAAGTTGATATATGACATACTGGCTGGTTGTGTTTCCAAGCTGGAGGCGTCGCCTTGGATGACGTTTGTGGCCACCAAGGACGACGGCGCCCGTACCAAGCCGACCGACATCTCAGAGTTGTGTCCTCCATCGTTTGTACATCACCATGTCGCAGACTCTCGTCACACGATCACGCATGTGCAAGCGCAGACCTTTCATGTAGTCCTCTGGCAGCAGCGCTGCGCCAGGGTAGAAGATTCGCACGTCGTATGATGACTGCGATGAGGGTGGCGCACGATCATTGATCGGGCCATACCTTGCGAAGAATGACTCCGCTCCCATTGTAATCTGTGACAGGGCACTCACCTGAGTACTGCTGTTGTTGATTGAGAGTTGATGTATTGACTTTGCTAGATTGAGTGATCGAGCAACAGATAGTAACTGTATCACTCGTTTCGGTTTTTTTGGAGGAGGAGCGGAGCATTGCGGAGCGAGCGATCGACGATCGGAAGCATGCAAACACAAACTGAACAGTAAACCCCCTATCGGCCCCTCAAGGGGCCTCATGTGTCCCCCCATTGATAGTTGTATAAAGTTATAAGTATACCCGCTTGATTTGAAATCAAAGCAATCGACATATATGTATAGCACTTTTGAATAGAATTGTTCATTTATGGGACAGACAAGGACAACATTATTGGAATCACCTCCTTTCCCTTCCATATGGGCTGTGTCTGTCCACTCTGTTCCCACCAACCATCTACTTGACTAGGTCACTCCGCTTGCATGGTGATATGGGGGATATATCTTTTTTGATGTCCTAAGGGTCCGTAAAAGTTCATCAAGCTTTGCGGTACTTGCCAATGCCGATCTTCGCAACAAACTCCATATCAACAGGCAAAGCCTTTACAACAAGAACAACCTGCCATATCATCAAGGGACAGAGGTTGGCAGGGAAACTCCACCCTCACCCCCTATTGATCCTATGGGGAGCACCACCACCCCAGAAAAGGACATTCTCATCCAAAGAATCCACATGATGCTCATGTTAAAGGACGACAACGCACTGAGAGTCTTTTCCTTACCAAGTTTCAACCACAGATTAGCCAATGAAGTTGGTACCCTCTGTCGCCTTGCTGTGTACTGTTTTCCCACAACAAGTGGCAACCAAAACCAAATTTGATGAACTACTGCCACGCCTTTTTTAGCGCGCCACTTTTCGAATGAATTTAAAGTGTCTTGGTGAGACCATCACCTTATTGTTGACATCACAGGACAGATACATAAAAAGATAATGTATATAATAATAACAACACATAATACATTACACATAATTCATAATGTCAGGAATAAACAAGCGAGCATTAGAGAGAGACTATAACTATAGCACCTTCTGTCAATGGACAGACGACGACTTCTACGAGTGGTCCATTAGTCTGTTTGGCGAACATACGGCCAAGGTGCTGAAGAAACAAGAGGTGAACGCAGAAGTGTTCTGTGACTACACGGAGGATGAACTCAAGGCACTTGGAATCTTGTCTGGGTCGATAAAGAAGATCATCAAGTTCATACCATCGATCAAGAAGGCGATGGAGGAACACATGGTGATGAGCGACCCACGATATACCACGCCTGTGAAGGAGAACCAACTTGTCTTACGAGCACTCGCAGCGAACACTGGCAGGTCAACGATACCATTTACAGCATCACCGATCTCTATCATCAGTGAACTTCAGCATGTCGGATTCCCTATCTTTTCGAGCGACTGTCATCTGTTCACTGGCATTGATTACGACGACCGAGAGGGTCAAGATTTGTTCAACAGGGGTGACAATATGCTCGATACGATCCAAGACTTGGATAATAATCTACCTTACCAGAGTGCCAATGGAAGGAACTATGCGTCCCATCGCCATTGTCTCCAAGAGATGTACTCTAACGATGTCACACTGTTTAACGATGGAAACATTATGAGACAGCAGAACCCCCTCATCTTCCAAACCCTCGATGATGTCACCGGCACCCCCTTTGTCTCCTTCTCGTCTGGGTTTAGACATGCTTTTAAGTACGCTGCGGGCATGAAGAACTATGGCGAGAAGTTGCCGCGCATCGGGGACTATAATGGACTGGTTCCTGTCGACGCAGTTCTTGGCAAGTTGTTGGTCGCCATGCTTGATGTAAATTATACAGAGTATAACACTCCATACAACGTTGTACAGGCTCATGCAGATCACCTGATCAATGTACACAACCATTTCATGAATAATATCGTCTCGGAAGACGAAGTGTCTTTGCCCGGCTACCTTCCTGGAGAGTGCATTATCATGGAGATGTTGGTCACATTGCCAGATCTCACAAATGAAGAGATGCCTGCAGTATATGCTCCTCGGTATGGACTGACCAACAGAACCTATACCAACTTCCGCAACAAGATGATCCTCCATGCCAACAACCCTGAGGAACGACGAAAGTCAGTCAGGTACTACCTCGATGGGATGTCTGTTCACTTGACCAACGTGTCATGTCACTTTGGAGGGCAACTCCAGGATATGGTGGCCCCCTACACTCTCTCCCACAGTTAATACCAACTATCAATTGGTGGAATTGTGAGTAGTAGCCCTCGAAGTGCAGGTGGTTCATTGGATTATCCATGCAATGGAGGATACTTTATCGAGGAGTTGTTCAGAGTCCGGATAATTAATTAATTAATAATAATATTATTATATATTATTTGTCCTTTTTTTGTTATTATTAACTTAATGAGTTGAGCCTCAGTGCATGATGGTCATTCTGTATCGTCTTACCAACACAAACCATCATTATAAACACAAGGAGCAACACAAACATCAATGTTATGAAATTCTGGAAAGTGATTGATTGAATGGATGGTCAGTCTTTGATTGATTGATTGATTGAATATTGAGTGAGCACAATACATACTTTACAAAGTAGATATATAGTTGAGTGAGTGTCCGGTTTGGAAACAGGTCCAAAGAGTGATTCCGTGGATGCTGAAAGTGATGGAATGGAATGTGATCTACTTAATGGATTGTTGCCACCAATGCCACTATTGCTACTACTGCTTGTTCCACTATCACTGCCACCAGCGCCAGACATTAGTTGATGGAATTGAACCTGTTGGTCGGCGTCCAATTCCTTGAGAAGCTTGCCAGTGAAGGTGGTCTGATCGAATGTTTGAATGAATGATTGAATACTGCTACTTTGCTCCTGTTGTTGCTCAGAGATCTTCTCAAAGATATCCTCCATGCGTCGCATTGTTTGAAGTAGCAGATGGTTCTGTGGTTCGTGTGATGGTGGTGGTAGTTGTTGCGCCTGCAGTGGCGGCGACGACGCCGACGACGACGAGGCAAACGACGTCGAGAGCGACTCCAGAGTACTGGTCTGGCTATTTACAATGTTGGTGATGGCGGGGAATTCAATCTCCATGCGCTGGCGCAGCTCGTCCATGTGCGACGACAGACTGCCCAGCATGTCGGTCTGGTGCTTGAGCTGATCGCGCAGCTTACACAGCTCGCTCTGCAGGTTGTTCTCGACCTCCTTGTAGTGCTGAAGCTTGAGCTCCAGAGTCTCGCATCGCTCGCGCCACTGCTCGGCCAACTCGCTCAGCGCCGAATCGTTGTGGGAGTTGTCCTTTAGTCGCGAAATCTGAGTCTGCAGGTCGTCGCACTTGTTCTTCCACTTGGACTTTTGGTTCTCCAACGTCTTGACGTACTGCTCGTTGTTGGTTAGCAGCTCCTGCACCGCGCTGTAGCGTATCTTCCATTCGTCCACGGCGTGCACTGCCTTTTCCAACTCGCTAATTCGATTGTTTCGCGTGGCCAACATGGCCATCGCTTCGCTGTGTTGCTGCTGCAGCCTGCCGCGCTCTGCCTCCAGGCGTGCCAGATCCCTCTCCTTGCTCTGGAACATTTCGCGCATTGACATGGCCGTCTTCTCGCGCTCGCGTGCCTCCTCTTCCAGCGCCGTGACCACCTCTTGCAGCTTGCCCTCGTTGCGTCGACACTCCTCAATCTGCATTTGTAAGCGGAGAATGTGCGATGAAATCTGGCTGGAGGTGAGCCCGCCGCCACCTGCCGTGTCGATCACCTGCTTGAGGCCAGAGATCTCGCTCTTGAGTGAGTGGATCACGATCTTCATGTGCTGCGAGGTCATCTCGCTGTTGATGAGCGGTTGGTTACGCACGGATTGAGTGCGCTCGCCAAAGTGAAGCGAGGCCACCGTGTCACGCACCACGCTCTCGTGGTTGGAGCTAGAGCAGTTGACAATGAGACAAGTCTTGGAGTTGCCGCCCAAACAGTTCTGTAGCAGCTGTGTGAGCTTACTGTCGCGATATCGCACATGTTTGGCGCGCTTGGAGATGTCCTCAATGACGCCGCCCAGCGCGTACAGTGATTGATTGATGGACTTGGCCTCGTCAGAGATGGACTTGGCCTCGCTGCCGCTCAGATCCACCATGTAGAACAATGACGTGGTGAGACTGCCCGTGTCGAGGTCCTCGCGTGTGATCGTCACGAGGAATAGAACGTGGCCCTTTGTGTCCAATGATCGCTCATTAGCCAGCTTGTGCAGCTCCAGTACCTGTTCCATGCGCGTCACATTCACCTGTATCGCGTCAGGCACTGTGAAGCCCTGGTCGACGAGGCGCAGGTCCAGGTCGGCCTTTCTCTCCTCAGAGAGCAGGTCGCGTACACGCTCCTGGCTCACCTCGACATAGGACACTCCAATGCGGTGCACGTGTCTATGGTCGTCTATGTCCACGCTGCGCGCGAGGAGTGCACGCATAACGCGTGGGATGAGGCCCCACAGGTCGTCGCGCTGAGCTTCCTCCGTCGTCATTTTCGAAGAACTTGGTCCCATTATGTCGTCTGCTGTGTATCCCTGCATAGTGTAGGTCTTGCCCGACCAATGTGGGCCATAGGCAATGATGGCCGCGTTGTAGCCATTGAGCACATCGTCGAGAAGTGGCGCGGCCACCAGCTGATAGACGTACTCTTGAGTGACGGTCGGTTGCAACACGTGACTAAACTTGAAGCCCTGGAACATGCCGCCATTATTAATGCACACTGTCTTGCCATCTTCGTTGATTGTGATCCTTCGCTCAGACATTGCCTCCAACTGCAACTCCTCTTCGCACAGAGGACGGAAGCGGCACACTACCTTGACAACCTCCTCGCGAAGTGATTGATTGCTATGATTATCCAGTATCAGTGGCGGCAGGTGAATGGAGTTGGCACCCACTCGAGGTGTGATCGATGGGGATGGTGAGCGCGACCTCATCGAGAAGCTGTTGCCGTTGATGTTGCTGTGGACATAGGCCACCTCATCGGGTGGGGGTGGTGATGGTGAAGGAGATGGTGTTGGATTGTTTGAGCCGCCAGACGTTGCCAGGTCGATCATACTATTGAACAATGAATGATGTGTTTGTGATTGATGGTAATGCTGATGTGTGCCTGGTACATGTTGCTGTTGTGTTCTATTCCCTGTTGTTGATGTTGAGGTGGTAGTGGTGGAATGTCGTCTCTTTTGTTGTAACAATGATGACTCTGTTGATGATGCTGTTGACGTTGATGTTGAAGTCTTGGGTTGAGTATGAGTTTGAGGTTGTATTGACTTTCTTGTGAGTGATGTTGTTGGTGTCGCGGTAGTAGTGGTAGTAGTGGACAACGCCGATGATGGTGTTGAAGATGATATTGATGGCCTCCGAGATGGAGGCAAAGGTAGTCGCGAAGGATGTTTCGTCTGTGAGGAATATAGTCCTTGTGTTGGAGGTGGTTCATTCATTCTTATATCGGTAATACTACTACTATTTATATAAATATATACATTTGTGATTGATTGTTTGATTGATTGAATGAACTCAATCACATGACCCATTTGGCCCATTTGATCAAACTTCTCGTCTTTTGATTTCCAAACTTCCAGTTTGGGCGCCAATCAAACAACCCCTCTCAACACACTTTGATTGGATTGATGGAATGATTGAGTTTATTGATGGACCGACCGAACGTTCGACGTTTAGAGTAGTCCACTCTCCATGTAGTCCTGCTTGAGTAGTTGCTTGGCAGACTTGATACGTTGTTTGAGGAGGTCTTGTTGTTCACGCTCCTTGTCTTTCTTTGGACTGGTGGACGGAAGCAATCCATGCATAAAGAATATGTTGATACCTTTGCGCAGATGACTGATGCTCTCAGAGTGACTGTCATCCTTATTCTTCATTCGCTTGGACTCTTGTTGGATCAATGCCAGTCGCTCAAAGATGGACATCACCTCCTGCTCGGCGGGCGTCGTCAGCAAGTATGTGAACATCACGCGGAAGAACACGATCGACACGGGGTCCAGACGCTCCAGGTCGACCACGCGTAGCACGCTCAACGTGAAGATATGGCACTCGATCAGACGTGCCAGCAGATGCGCCAGGACGACCACGGAAGACAGTGAGTTGGCCTGGTTCTTGAGCTCCTTCAGCCTGTCCCAGATGTCGTACTGCAGAGTGAACTTGTAGTTGTCATCGTGTGTCGTCAGTCGCTGTATCAGATGGAAGTAGTATGGGTTGAACTGCTTCTCCTTGACGCAGCAGTGTATGATCGTGTGTATCACCTCGCGGTCCTGCTTGTCCCTGAGGTGCAGCTCCAGGATCTTCTCGAATGCGTCCACAAAGTCGTCGGACGACATAACAATGCAGAACAGAGTCTTTTGCAATGGTGTCGTCATCCTGTTGGCGGCGGCCATCTGCAATAGCTCGCTGGTGAACGAGCCCTGCTTCTCCTCGAGCTGCTTGGCCTGGTTGACCTGCGCGCTCCTGACGTTGGGCACCGAGATCGAGCCGTCCTTGCCCACCTTGCCTGCCCACGACGAGCCGACCAGCCACCATCGTCCATGAGTGTCCACAGACTCCAAGTCCTTCAATCCAATGCGCATCGTGTTGGAATTGAGTGACGTGTCGGAGGCCTTGAGGAGGGAGCGCACAGCCTTCCTCAATGTAGCCAGTGTGTCCATCAACTTGGTATTCTTGATCTTGTTGTTCTTGAGATTGGTCATTGTCTCCATAAAGAAACTTAACTTTGTCACCTTATCGCCAGTCTCTGATCTGACCTCTGCCTGCTTCTTCTGCACCATCAAAATGATATCCTTCAAAGCAGTTGGGTCTTCTCCTCTAAGTTGATATCCAGCATCTGTTGAGCGAGAGTGAGCATGGGTATATAAATGTGATGGGGTGTGGAATGGTAGGGATGAGGCGCGCTGAGGCTGGGCCAGCTATATCAAAATACATACTCTGGATCAATAGAAGGAGTAGTTGCATGTCTAGTTCTGACGAGGATTCGAGATAGTGCTTGGCCAAGTCCACGATGATGACACTGCCAAGTACTTGGAAGTTGTAGAGATGTATGATTACAAGTAGTAGGTTGGAGATGGTGTGGACTGATCCATCAGGGTATGAGCTCTGATATCTCTTGAACAACTCCTCGATGAAGTATCCTCCAATGTCCGTACCAATGCCACCATGTATTGCGGCGATCAATGCCGTGCTTGCATGTATAATCGAGTGAACCACCTGTTCATTATCCGAACAATTCCGCAGTACTATATCCGACACTATATGTTTGACGACTATGTATGATTGAATGATTGATGGATTGTTAGGATTGGATGATTGATTGATTGATTGATTGATCAGGGACAAACATACTATTCCTTGGCTTATCATTGAAGAGCTCATTGATGTCAGAGTATATCACGTGAAAGTTGTTTGTTGCCAGCTTGTTGAGAAGACCATTGATCTTCTTCTTTAGTGCCAGGTCATCTGCACTCAATGTAATGGTCTCAGTGTTGGCAGTCGAGACTTTCTTAGATGAATTGATGGTCGAGGTTGGAGTGGTGTTTGTTGAGTTTGCGCTTGTTGTTGGGTTTGGGGTTGATGTTGAGTTTGCGGCAGTTCTGAGATGTGGAGGAACATATTTGCCAAGTCCTTCGGTTCCAACACCTTTGTTATCCTTTATAATCTCTCCAGTCTTCTCATTGATTATTCTTCCATATATATCCTCCTTTGTCTTGATTGGTTTGGTATTCCGCAGCAATGTTGGTTGTTCTTGTTCATCCTCATAGTCATCATCCTCTTCGTTATCCTCTTCCAACTCTTCCTCCTCCTCCAACTCTTCATCATCATCTTGGTCAACATTGTCGTCATTGTCGTCGTCGTCAACGACATCATCTTCATCATCCATCTCACCAGATTGGTAGTCCATATCCTCATCTCCGCTGTCACCAAGACCAAAGTTATCATCATCATCACTTTGTTCCATCTCATCATCTTCATCACCAGACTCCTCTTCCTCTTCCTCTTCCTCAGCCTGATGCTCAACCTTCTTCGTTGGTTTGAACAGCACTATAATTGATTGATTGATAGAGTGAGTGAATGGTACTTCTCGTGACATAACATTATACATACAGTCCAAACCATCCTCCTTGAACGCAGTGGATACATCAGCCTTCTTCTTGTTCACCTTGAGCTTTGACTCTAGATACTTGATCTCCTTGTCCTCAGCAGTGCCAAAACTATCCATATTCTGACCAATAGACTTGAGGAATATTCTCTTCTTCTCATCCTCCGTCATCATCTTTATATCATTCTGCTCTCCTCCACTATGTCTCTTTTGTCTCTCCTGTCTCTGTTGTTCCATCTTTAACCTCTGTTCTTGTTCCTTCAATCTTTGTTGTTGTAATTGTTCCTTCTTTACCTTCTTCTTTAACAACTCATTTTGTTTCTCTTCTTCCTTTCTCTTTAAAGTCTCTGGTTTCATATGACGTTCATTCTTTAAAGTGGTCATTCATTGTTAGTCAATGCATTGTTGAAGTTGTTGTTGATGATGTTGTATACACTATACTATACCCTTGCTTGAAAGTAATGCTCTCTTCTCTTCTTCTTGTTATCTCTCTCACGTTGTCTATCCTTCTTCCTATTCTTTCTCATTGCCAACGACTTGAATCTAACATCATTAGGTTCTTCACCTTGTTGTTGTTCAATCTCCTTTGTCAATGATCTTGGTAATTTGATACCATCATCTTTGTTTTTTAATCTTCTTCTATTCATTATATTATATATTATATGTTGTTGTTGTAATAGATGAGTGAGTGATTGATCATTCATTCGGTCATCTATCGATACAAGGTCATTGAATCACTCGTCTTTTTGAAGTGTGTTATGTAACGTTATCACACAGGAGACACTTTGCATCGTCACCCCCACACTCAACATCCTTCGCCTCGTCATCAAACTCAATAAGATCTGCAAGTCATTATTGTTTGTTCAATTATAACATTAATGTCACTTGTATAACAACACAACACAAACAAACAATCAACAATGATAAGACAATATCAATCACTACATATACTCTTATTATTATTGTTATTCATGTTCACAATTCAAGTACAATCAATATCAACAGGTACGTTAGAGATAAAGATAAGAGATAAAGATAAGATAAAGATAAAGATAAGATATACTGACTCACTTCAATCATAACAATAATAAAGATATTGAGGAATTGATAAAGGAAGGAGATAATTTCTTTAAACAGAGTAAATTCGATTCATCGTTGGAGAAATATACGTTGGCAATAGATAGGATTGGAGATGCTTCAGAGAGTGATGTATCTTCTTTGACCGGTTTGTTGTTTAAACGCGCCGGAATATATCAGGCGAAACATAGGTACACAATGGCCTTATCCGATGTAAACAGGGCATTGCAATACAATCCAGACAACATTCATGCCAAGAACAAGAAGGCCAAGATCCTGACGTCATTGGGTCGCTTCGAGCAGGCCAAGGAGGAGTATGGCATCATCCTCAAGGCAAAGCCAAACAATGCCGAGGCCATCAAACAGATGGACATTATCAGCAAGGTTTCACAGCGATTGACAACCGTGCGCAGTCTGATGGAGAAGCAACAGTATGCCGAAGCAATCCCTCATATCAATCAGGTCCTGGAGGCGGCCAGCGAGATCAAAGAGCTCAAGCTCATGCGCGCTGAGGCTTCATTCTTTACTGGCGACTATAGAAAGACTATCGAAGACACTTCCAGTGTATTGAAATCCGAAGGTTCCAACACTGAAGCACTCTACTGGCGTTCAAGAGCATTCTTCTCCATCGGTGAGAAGGAGGCCGCCATCAAATACCTAAAGGATGCACTCAACTTTGATCCAGACAATGAGAAGGCAAAGAATCAGTTAAAGGTAATCATTTGAATTGAACGATACATTGAGACGACAAGTACACTAACAAACTCCATTCATTACCATCAGAACATAAACAAGTTTGATCAATCAAGTACCAAAGCCAATGAGTATTTCAGTCAGAACAGGTTTGATGAATCACTGCGAGTAAGTAATCCATCCCTCTCTCCCCCATGCTCTCTCAATCTGACCAACGATCAATCAATCAACGAATGAATGATAATTAGGAAGCCGACACTGCCTTGGAAATAGAGTCCAACAATCCTTTATACACATCACCATTGTTATTACTAAAGTGTAAGGCTCTGTTGAAGTTGAGGAAGGCACAGGAATCGGTAAAGGCCTGTACAAAGTTGATAGAGATGGAGGAGAATGCCGATGCATTCTACAATAGAGGAGAGGCCTTTATGTACTTGGACGAGCACGACCGTGCGTTGGCCGACTTCCAAAAGGCAAACCAACTGCGACCAAACGACGGTGCGATCCACGATGGAATTCGTCGTGCACAGCAGAAGCAAAAGATGGCCTCGCGAAAGGACTACTACAAGATCATGGGCATTGACAAGTCGGCGTCGGCCGCAGACATCAAGAAGCACTACAAGAGCCTGGCCAGAAAGCACCATCCAGACAAGGCCGACAACCAATCAGAAGAGGCCAAGCAGAAGTTTGTGGACATTGTCGAGGCGTACAGTGTGCTGTCCGATCCAGAGAAGCGCGACAAGTACGATCGTGGCGAGGATGTCGACGGACAACAGCAACATCAGCAACAGCATGGCCAAGGCTTCCCATTCGGCTTTGGATTCCCTGGTGGACAGACCTTTAGCTTTAACTTTGGACATCAATAATAATATAATATAATATAACACCATCATATTTACAAGATAGAACAAAATGATTACCAAGCCCAACTAGTTAGTTGGGCAGGCCCTATTATATTATTAGATTGGATTATGGTACTTGTTGGTATGCCTGACCTCTGTACTCTGTTCCAGATACCTTGCCTCGGATGTAAAGAACACCATCCGATAACAATGAGCCAAAGTTCTTCCAGAAACCGACGTTCGGGAAAAGAGTCTCTTGTTTCCTGACCTTCCAATTGAACAACATTCCAAACATAATATAAGCAACTATACTTGAGAACAGACTATATTGATTTGATTGAATTGTATTAGTATGTTGATTGATGTCAACTGATTAGAGTGCGACATACATTATGATGAATATCCATCCACCTCCAATGCCTGAGCTGTGTGGATGCATGTGGCTACCACATGCTGCAGTCATTGTGAAGTTGAGAGTGCATCCTCCAACCTCATTAACACTGACCATCCTATCAACTCCAGTGCATTCAATGGCAACATAAGTCTGTCTAACAGAGTTAACATTGCACTGACTTTTTGAGTTGTAATAGACGATAGCTCCTTCCTTTCCATCACCTGATTGATTGATTGATTGATTGATTGGGTGTATGTGAGAAAGTGCGAGTGAGTTGGAGTGAGTTGGAGTGATTGAATGATTGAGTGATTTGGGTTTACCTCTTGGTTGAATGGCCATGAGATCAGAGCTTCCAAATGAGTACCATTGACCTTTGTTTCCACAAACAGATACTGGCTTGTTTACAATAGTTGTGTTGTCACAGTATAGACTTGGTCCACAAATGTTCACATGATAGGTTGTTTTAGAGGCTCCAGTGGCCGTCCAGTCAATGCTGTTGATTGATTGGATCGTCCGAGGTTAGTATTTGTTTATAGATCGATCAAATAATAGAATTATACATACTTTGTTWAGTTTTGTAAAGTCGTATGTTTGACCTTGAGCTGCTGATGTATAGGAACATGTTGGTGGTGGTATTGGGCTTTGTGTTGCCGACTCCACTCTCAGAATCATAAACAATGAATAGAGAATAACAATCAAATATTTCATCAACATCATTATCTTTTTCTTTATCTGTATGTATCTATGTATCTAATGTATGAATGAATTGTTGAATGAAAGGTTGGTGACCAACCATTCCCCAAACTTACTAATCTAATCTCTCCAAAGGTGATGATGAAGACCCATCACACACTGGCTGGCTCAGTCCCATGGGTCTAAGACCAAAAAAGACGATTAATCTTCTTTCGAAAATATCTAAGTGTGTTCGTTGCGAACTTAACTGTTTTGTGGGCTATCACTGAAGTGAATGATCATGATCGTTTGCTTGTTACATCCGACAGTTCGTTGGAACGTTCCAGCCAAGTGGTCATCAATACACACATCCTATTTATTTATTCCATGTCACTTTGCTCTTTGCAAGGTCCCGTTGCACCTTGGCGAAGCTCTGCTCGGCCCTGTTTATCATGTCCTTATACTTGTCTTGGGCAGAGGACACTGGTGCGATCTTCTCATAACCATCCTCCCCATCCATCAATGATTGGTAATCTTCACCATCATCGTAATTGTCTTCGCCATTATTGTTGTTGTTGATCTTTGTTGATAATTGTTGTTGTTGTTGTTGTTGCTTATACTTCTTACTAATTGCATCGCGGATATATCTGTCTGACCTGGTCCTATAGTCTTTGGTTTGGCTGTCTGACATGGACCACAGCCTGGTCACCCCCTGGGTGCTGTTGCTGCTGCCGCTTCCTCCTCCTCTTCCTTTGCCATAGCTGATACGTGATCCATTCATCTCCAGCAAGGTCGCACCCTCCACCTGCTTGATATTCATCAGTAGATCATATGTGCTGGGCTCCAAGGCATTATATCCATCGGCCAAAGATCCACCATCATTCTTTGCAAAGGACTTCATGGCATTGATCTCTCCATATACGCCGCCGACGCCTGTGTTTGACTCGGTGGTGGCATTGGTATTGGTATTGGAAGTGGCTTGCTCAAGCTCGGTCGCCTTGATATCATCCACCAGATTCTTTTTGGACTTCATCTCGCTCTTGATTGACCTGTTCTTCATTGTGCTCTGAAGGGTACTGACCAGGCGTAGCTTGACCGGTGGCAATCGATACTCATTGTCCTCAGTGAGTATGTCCACGAGTACATGGTCAAATACCAACAGTTGATGATGTGTACCATTGTTGAATGTGTAGTCGACGTTGGTCTCGTTGAACTTGACGTCAGTGATCGATTGTGACGATCCAAACAATGGATCATTGCTAGGTGGTATCGCCTTGCGCTCCTTGTCCAACAAATAGATCCTCTCGCGCAGTCCATACTCTGGCACATAGACAATGACTGCATTCGATCGTACGTCTGTTACGATGGCCTCAACTGATTGCTTTGGCCTGATGCGGAAGTAGAGACTCTGGAACATCTGTGTAGCCTCACGTTGCAGTGTCTTTGATGCTCGATGACGAAGATTGAGATGGTCGGCCAGCTTTGACATTGAGTGATCAGTGTAGACATCGTTCCTACGACTGTTTATCGCGTCCCACAACTGTCTGTGTACAATAATATCAGCATATCTTCTGATTGGTGATGTAAAGTGTGTATATTTATCCAAGGCCAGACCATAATGGTAGTACTCTGCAACATTGAGTGATCCAGTTGAGAAGTATCTGTGAATGAATGTGCGTGAGTGAGTGGAGTCATTCCATTAAGTGATTGATTGATCGATCAAACATACATGGCCTCTGATAGGATGTTGACTGTCTTTAGCTTTAGGATAGTATTGATAAATGGGTCTTCCTTCTTGACCGCATTCTGAAGTGATGTTGCCAGGTCCTTGTTAGTCTTTGTGTTTAGATCGAAGCCCTGCGTGGTTGGATGCATGTAAGTATGTTGATTGATTGAATGATCTAGTGATTGAGTGAGTGGACATGACATACACATAAGTCAAACAAAGGTCTAATCGCTTCGAATCCTAGATTGTTGGGCATTGGATGACGACGTAGAAGTGCTGAGCCAGAATAGAAGGCGTGTATCCTGGTGCCAACTGATGCATTGGCAAGAATCATGAACTCTGCGACCAATGAGTGAACTTCTAGATCGGACTTGAGCACGATCTTGTCCGGCTTGCTAGTGTCATCCGAGTTGAATTGGAAGCGCACCTCAATGCTCTCGAGATCCAATGCACCAATCTTGGCACGCTGTGCACTCAGATGTCGGAACACTTGGCGCAGCGTCAGCAGGTCCTTCTTGAGCTCGGCGATCTTGACATTGTTATACAATCTGTGGCGGTAGCCTGCGTTCTTGCCACCATTGGTGACGTCCTCGTCGCGATCCTTGCCCTCGACCACCTTTCCATCGATGATGTCCTGTGCAAGTTGATAGTGCATCTCTGCACACGAGTGAATGATTGTGCGGCCAAACCATGTGTCGGTGATGGTCATCGTGGACAGGTCGAACGTCCAAATGACAGACATGGCGCATCTTGGGAAGCCACCTCGAAGCGAACATACATCCTCACTGAGCACGGCGGGCAACATGTCGAAGCGGCGATCGGGCAGATATATCGTGGTGCCACGTCGTCTCGCTTCCTGGTCCAAGGGTGAGCCCTCTCGCACAAAGTGGCTGACATCGGCAATGTGCACTCCAATCTCCACCATGTTGCCTGAACGACCTGTCAAGTATCCCACGGATATGGCATCATCAATGTCTTTGCTGCCCAACGGGTCGATACTCATTGTTCGATGGTGGGCGATCGTCCTTCGATATGCTGTCTCCTCGGCGGGGATCTGCCAGGGCGCGTCCTTGCTCGAAACTGGCAACGAGTCGGCGATCTGTTTGGACCACGTCTTGATCGACACGTCGTGCTCCAACATCAATGACTTGAGCTCAGTCTCGAGGTTGTTAGACTCGCCCAGTACCTGAACAAAGTGGCCAGTTGGATTGTTTGAGTTGATGTCCCAGTTGTCGATCCTCACCACAATACGTCGTCCAACAAAGTTTGCGCTGTTCTTTGTCGGCACTCTGATCAGTGGCAGACGCGAGTCGAGCGGCACCACAAACACATAGTTTGATTGAAGTGATGCCCTGGCCTCGATCGTTGCCACATAGTCACGCCAGTTCCTCTGAATGATGCCAACTACCTTGCCCGTCATTGTGTACTTGGTTGACGTTGCCTTCCGTGATGATAGTGATAGCGACGATGTGTTTGAAACGGCACCCTCATCCTGCACCTGCACCTCCTCTCTGAGCTCATCATCCATGTCATTCTGATCGAGTGCCAGTCCAGTGTTGTCATCTGATGCTATCCATTGAGACTCGGGCAGCAAGACAACGCCAACCTTATCGCCATGTATCGCTCTGTTGATATTGGCTCGGCCAACAATGAGCACCTTGTCATTGGCCGACGTAGCCTTTGTGCTGGCCACACTGTTCTGTGGCAACTTCACAAAGGCCTCATCACGATTGAATTGATTGATGTGGATCTTGCCAGAAATGATGTTGCCAGACTTGATCTCGGCTTGAAGTGTGTCGTCGTTCCAGTATCGATCATACAATGAACCCTTGCCCTCCCCTCCCTCCAACGACGATGCAGCGGCCTCGCTCGCCTGCTGATCAGCCTTCTCCTTCACCGCGATGGCCAACGATTCATACAACTCCCAAGCGAATGATGATCTAGTCTTGATGAATCTCTCAGAGTATTGACCAACGCTCATAGTCTCCAGTGGTCCTTTGATTGTGTCGACGTTGCCATTGTTTGAGAGGAAGATGATGTGACTTGGGGGCAAGGCCAGTGAGTGCAAGTGTGATGCGTACCAATGAGCCGAGTGCAGTAGACGTCTCTCGACAAAGTCTGTCAGTGACTCGTTTGTAGTATGATCGCGCTCGATTGATGTCTGTTGAGCCATCTCGTTGGAGAAGTATAATACATGTCCATGACCGTGTTGTCTTTGAGTGTTGATCATTGACTTTAGTCGCTCAAAGAACTTTGGACCACAATGATATTGTACATGTCTATAAACAGTCTCAAATATAACCAACACATGATACTCCATTACTTCTTGTAACTCAAACAACTCCATATAATCTCTAACTGTATCAATATCTGGTATTATTACAACATTCGATGATGTTGTCGATGATGATTTAGATGATTTTGATGATGTTGATGATGTTGAGATTGATAATGAGTTGAATTGACATAATGTACATTGAGGATATTGACATGTTATATCATTCCTAACATATTGTTCCTTTGATATCCAACGTATAGTATTACTATCTTGTTTCTTTGGTGATATCAATGAGTAACATTGATCAATCTCCACTGAATCAATCACTCCTCCAACCTGTACTCCCGATTGATTATTTATAACATTATTATAACTTCTTGTATACATCTCCTCTCTCTCTCTCTCTCTCTCTATCACTCTGTCTAATTATTACAACAACTAATTTGATGACGTGAAGACAAAACCCTTTTAAAAAGGGAATAAGTTGCAACTTGTTTTTCTTTCTTTTGTTTTTGTTCAACACATTACATTTCACTTTAACCAACAAATACAACATGTTGCCTGTTTATATATTAAGAAACATAGTTTCGAAGCTTGATTATATTGACATAATATGTTTTCTCCTCACGAGCAGAAACATATTTATGTTTTATAAGAGCATAGAACCATCACTGAAGCTTCAAACCTTATCAAGCGGTCAACACAATCCGAGAACATTTCGACACCTAACAAATTGCGGTCGTACTTATATACCACCACCAAATGCAGATGCATGCTTCATAATGCACTATGGTACGCCACAGACTGTTCAAATTCCCTCGTCAATCACAAGTTTAAAGGTATCATTCTACAATCACCCCTTCTATGTAGTGGATATACCGCAATCAGTGACACAGAGTACGGAATCCGGTCGGTACGGTTACGGTTTGAGGAAAATCTCCCGGTCGGTAGACCGGGAAAAATTTTTTGATTGAATACCGGTTTAGACTCGGTTTTGATCTTATCCAATCCGGTAGACTAAGACTCGTATCTAGCCTACCCACTGACCTGGTTATATCTAGATTTTTATTTTAATTGATCTCGATCTGTTGTTTTGATCGGGTACTGTACTGGGGTGTTGTAATCACTCATTCTTTCATTCATTAATCTTAGTCATTGTCATTCATTGTTATTCATTCACTCTCATTCATTCATTCATTCTTATTTATTTGTAATGATACATGTGGTGCACTACCCACTACTTAC